GGGGGGGGGGGGGGGGGGGGTACTCTTGCCCGTTTAGGGTAGGGATGTGCCGCTGAGCACTCTTAACCCTGACCTTGTTCTTCCAGAGTAAAATCGCTGAAATTCATACCCTGTTCCAGAGCAAGATCGCTGAAAACCATACCCTGTTCTGATATTGCGAAAATAGATACCCTGTTCCAGAGAGGAGAGAGCGTGATTTCATATGCCCTGTTCCAGAGCGAGCGCGATTTTATATACCCTGTTACAGAGTAGAATCGCTGAAAACCATACCCTGTTTGGCGGCACGTACCCGTAAAGCGAATATAGTGAGGTTACCCCCCCCCCCATCTCAGGGATTCGGGGGCGGTGTCTATTCGAATAAATACGGTATATATCATTGGGAACCCTGTGTGGTGGAGCGTTTCAACATGGCGACGGAAGGCAAAAGACTGTCTGGTAAACAGATTTCGGGGTAAGCCAACAATATTGCACTCTTATTCTTCCCTTTCCTTACTCTACTTATTCCTAAATACCCAAGGAATCTGTGTCTTCAAGATCAGGGTTGTTGTTATTTAGTTTGTAAAGAAAAATAGCCCAACATTTTGAACAAGTCGGAAGAGCATATTTCGAKAAAATCGAGAAAACGTCCCATGAGCTCATTAATATTACTAATATTCTTCAAGCTACCTAACAGGCATTTCAAATAAGATTAGAACATATTGAATGATCTAAGAGTTTAATTCAAGCAGAATTTGTTAGTAGGTTTCGAGKTGTGTTACGTATGTACTGCAGTTTGCTGAGGGAGAGAAAAATATTCTTACAACACRTGATCGCTTCCTAGTTAAATAAGGTTTTGAAATATTTGATTTGTTTTTGCTATTCTTTCAAATACGAACAGAGCTTGCTTTTAGACTTATTTGAGGATCATTTTGTGAGTTAACACGAGGCACTAGTCAAAGGTACCCGATATTACTGGGTTTACTGGTTTTATTGTTTTATTGTAATGTGATACCAGCTAGCGATGATATGTAGAGAAAACTTAAGAAGGCTCAAGAGGGTTATAATCTCTAATAACAGCCACTAAAAGCACTTATCTGGGCAGACATATAGCTAATAATGGTATTCTGAGTCAATTGGGTAGATTTAATTTCATAAGCAATATATGTTTAGAATTATTCTGCTAATAATATGATAAAAGGTGCCATACTGGTTAATTAAATGACCTTAACTTCTCTGAAGAKATCCTATTCTGCTTTGGGGATGTTATTTTTAAGCTTGAAAAATGAAAATTGTGTTCTTCAAGGACTATGTTTATAGCTCCAGTGCATAAACATTTTTCTTATCCAGTATAATTAAAGTCTGAGTCAAAAATTTATTCTTTTGCAGAGAAATCCGAAAACAGTTGCAAGAAGATGTGTCGAACATTCAAGCTGAACATCCAAATTTCAAACCAGGATTGGCAATTGTTCAGGTATATAAATATATATATTATTAAGGGAACGGGGAACGGGGAAAAATTTCAAACCAGGATTGGCAATTGTTCAGGTATATAAATATATATATTATTAATTCTTATTTTTGTCATTATTATTGTCATTATTGGCTTTTGGCCAATGGGCTCTTGACATGTTTCATATCTGAAATTGTTTTTCGACATATAGTTGAATGATTATGATACTAGCAACTATTGTTAAATGTTGTGTAAATGATTATAATCATGATGGCGATGGTGATGATGATGAGAGGAATGATGATGATGGTGATGATGATGATTAATATACAGTATTATTGGTTTTATTCCTCAGATTGGTGGACGTAGTGATTCTACTGTTTATATCAATGCCAAAATTAAAGCCGCAGAGGAGGTGAGTATTTTACCCARGAGCTTTGAAAAAAGCTTCACCTAAAGCCTGACTTAAGACCACTCTCATATTACCTCTTTCATATACAGTGTACACTGTACATTATCTTTCTCGTTCTGCTTCATTGCAAACATCTTTTGTCTTTTTTGTCTTATAAGGTGTCATTGTACCCAMGCTAGACCACAATGCACCTTGTTTACCAACTGAGAAAAAGACTTAGTKCTATATGCAACATGACAATTTTTCTTTAGCCATAATGTTTTTTATATTGTGTAGTTCCAGAAATCATCCATACCCACCCCACAGAGGAATTTGGAATTTCCAAAGAGTAGGGGGGTCAGAGAAAGAACAAAAATTACAGAGTTTGTATGGAAGAAAATTGGAATTTCTGGGGGATAAGGAAGTGTCTTTAAAAAAATCTCCCATGAGGGGGTTATGGATAATTTTTGGAACTACACATTTTATATTTCATATCAATCCCTTGAGTATAATTTCTTTCATTATGGGTACAATTTAGAACCACTACACATTGGTTGTAATTATATGTTTACTTTACTCGTCGTAGATAGGAATGATGGCTAGACATGTGAACCTGCCCAGAACCTGTACACAACAAGATGTAAGTATTCTGGAAAAAAGAGAAGGAAAGGTCTTATTTCTAAAGAAGACTGTTGAAGTTTAAACAGATAACGCTTGCAACTTACCCTTGATACTGGGCTGTAAGAGAGTGCTGAATGGAAACGGAAATGCTGAATAAAAAGTTGCATTTCTATCACTTTCTATGACTTGGCACTTTAAAATGCTAATGCTAAATAGTCTAATACTAAGTTTTTTTTGAAACTGTTCTAACTCTGAAGCAAACCTTAATATATGAAAGAACAGGTCACATTTAATGAATCTCTGATATTTGAGCACGTTTGAGCATACAGTCATTAAAAATCATTACAATTAATACTGTCTGAATGTGTGCAGTGTACATAGTTTAGCTGGAAAAACAAGTGACTTGCTTTTACTGTAGGTAGTGTCCTTATTCTTGCACTATATATTAGTCTTTCACACCATTTAATTTTGATATAAAAATGTTTTGTTCATAAAGAACCTTTTTAAACTCCATATGAAAAGGTCTTGAAAAATGATGTAGTTTATGATTTATGACCCTTGGACCTTTGTCACACAGTAGCCTTGTTGACTGAAACAATGTATTAGATATTACGCAGCTTAGCCTCAAACACTCTATAGAATGAGGTTGTAATAAATAATTTATGTACACGTACATTTGATTATATAATCATGCACAATTTTTATGATATAATCAAATATACATGTATTTATTTTCATTGCATTCAGATGGCAACATTTGATCAAGCTAAATAGTCTTGGAATTAGCTTACATTACTAGGAAGTACTATTGAAGCTYGTATGAAAGAACATATCTTATTATATAATTACCAATGAAATATCTATTTTTCTCTATTTCGAAAAATTGATATCTTCAAGTGAAAATAACATGTTNATTTCTTTCATTATGGGTACAATTTAGAACCACTACACATTGGTTGTAATTATATGTTTACTTTACTCGTCGTAGATAGGAATGATGGCTAGACATGTGAACCTGCCCAGAACCTGTACACAACAAGATGTAAGTATTCTGGAAAAAAGAGAAGGAAAGGTCTTATTTCTAAAGAAGCTTGTTGAAGTTTAAACAGATAACGCTTGCAACTTACCCTTGATACTGGGCTGTAAGAGAGTGCTGAATGGAAACGGAAATGCTGAATAAAAAGTTGCATTTCTATCACTTTCTATGACTTGGCACTTTAAAATGCTAATGCTAAATAGTCTAATACTAAGTTTTTTTTGAAACTGTTCTAACTCTGAAGCAAACCTTAATATATGAAAGAACAGGTCACATTTAATGAATCTCTGATATTTGAGCACGTTTGAGCATACAGTCATTAAAAATCATTACAATTAATACTGTCTGAATGTGTGCAGTGTACATAGTTTAGCTGGAAAAACAAGTGACTTGCTTTTACTGTAGGTAGTGTCCTTATTCTTGCACTATATATTAGTCTTTCACACCATTTAATTTTGATATAAAAATGTTTTGTTCATAAAGAACCTTTTTAAACTCCATATGAAAAGGTCTTKAAAAATGATGTAGTTTATGATTTATGACCCTTGGACCTTTGTCACACAGTAGCCTTGTTGACTGAAACAATGTATTAGATATTACGCAGCTTAGCCTCAAACACTCTATAGAATGAGGTTGTAATAAATAATTTATGTACACGTACATTTGATTATATAATCATGCACAATTTTTATGATATAATCAAATATACATGTATTTATTTTCATTGCATTCAGATGGCAACATTTGATCAAGCTAAATAGTCTTGGAATTAGCTTACATTACTAGGAAGTACTATTGAAGCTTGTATGAAAGAACATATCTTATTATATAATTACCAATGAAATATCTATTTTTCTCTATTTCGAAAAATTGATATCTTCAAGTGAAAATAACATGTTATTTTCATGTGTGAAATTAACACCATTGCGATGGCTATTCAAAAATACGAGGAAAGAATTGCCTGAAAAAGCCAAAACGTCTTTTCAACACTCAAAGATAAATTTCATATCTCCATGTGCCCATGTAATATCCTCTATGTAAGCACTAAATCAAGATAATTTGGAGTTCTTGATGTTGGTCAATTAATTACTGAAWGTAGAAATTTATGATGAGTAGTTTAACAGATGGCCATGCAAAACTAAAGTCTTCTTAATCTGTAATACAGGTTCTAAAAGCAGTAGATGAGCTCAATAAAGATAGCACAATTCATGGTATTATTGTCCAGCTTCCACCAGACTGTGATAACCCAGTGGATCCAGCCATCGTTACTAATGCTGTCATCCCTGAGAAAGATGTTGACGGGTAAGTACATGTACCGGTATTGAACTCTTTAGCTTGGGCGTAATATTTTTCTACTTCAGACCACGTGTCATTCCCTTGAGAATAAGATTCTTTGTTTGAGTTGTATCTATATTCATGTGTCTTCTCATGTGCAACCGTTAAACAAAGAAATGATACTTAAGGGAATTTTTTGAAATGTAAATTCATGGTAACCGGTCTTTTCGAACCAAAGTCTTTTCGATCCAGGTCTTTTCGAACCAAGTCCAGGTCTTTTCGAACCACCTATATACACTTTCGATCCACCTATATAACTAAAGCATATAACACGTCCTATATGCTGTGTATATAGTTAATTTAAAAGAGTATAGTTTAAAAAGTTGTCTTGTGCACCGAATAAAAGATTATGATCAAAAAAGAAATCAAAACTATGCGCGTTGTACTATGAATTTGGCTGGGCATGATGACACATCGGTGTCACGGACTTTTTCAAACAAACGCCTTTAACCTGTCTTGAATAGTAGAAAATCGTTTTAAATTCTTGTTTATGGTATCTAATAACTGTGTATAAACATGAAGTGGAAATATCAGTGGCTAAGTTTAGCGTATGAAATGCTAACTGTTTTTGTAATCAATCAAATCGTTTTGGATTGAAATAATGAATTCAAAATGCCATTCAGTTCTGATTGATTAAGCTTATTTATGTGTTTCACATACTCGAATATTAAAGTTTTTTTCTAAAGTTAATCAACATCTAAATCGAAATGAAAACTGTTGACTTCTGAAACTATTTAGTCTATTAGTAAAAACTTATACAAACGGTTCAGTTGAAAGAAACTTCGCAACCGAACAACAAACATTTGTCACAATGTTTTAACTCATTTGCCATGTGTTTCCCTTAATGTATTTGCCATGAGATTAACATAAACACTACTGGAGAAAATAGCTGTGTTTTTGTACTCAAGATTTGGGCAAGCAAGCAAATATATCAATCAAATACACAAATCGGATAGAGTGACTCTAGTTTGGCGGTTTCATTAACGAGTTTCACATGTAACACTCTTGTTGTCACACGTATTTTCGTTCGTGTCTTAAATTTTTAACTCCTTCGCGATGTTTCCCCTACTTTATTTGCCGTGAGTTTAATATAAAATATATTATAAAATGCGTATGTAAACCTTTTTTTTTGCTTAATAAGACGGGTTTTATGTTTATCATGAACTGCTTTTTCTAATGTATGTGTATATAAAATGTGTTGTGTTATGTATCGCTCCTTTAATTCG